CTAATGCTTTCACAAACTGTTTCATCAGCCCCAATTTGATATGGAGTGGTGGAAGTAAGATTTTTTTAGGGATCCACTAAACTTTGTTTTTCAACATTTTTAACTCCAGGAATAAGACCCTTTCTTATTGGCCACACCTGCCTGACATAGTGTTGTTTCCTGTCACGGCTATGCCATTCACATAGGAAACATAGAAACTTAGTGCAACCATTTTGTTGACCTAGTAACATTGAAATAACTTTCAGGTCTCCACAAATGGTCCACTTATGATCAGAATAGCTGAGCTCATTAAGAACAAATTCAAGATTTTCGTAGCATTCTTTCAAATGGACTGAGTGTCCAACAGGCACAGAAGCATATTGTTTCCCATTGTGAAGAAGTACAGCTTTCAAACTTTTTTTTGATGAATCAATGGAAAGTCTCCATTTCTCTGGTTCATACGTCATGTTGAACATTTCCATGACGCCGGGTACATCGTTGCAGAAAACTAGGCCACCCTCTTGTGTAAAAAAAGGAACAAATTCCCTTTCTCTAAATCGATAACGTGAAAATGAAACACCGGAGGCTAACATATGTCTTCTTTAAGTCTAAGTCAGAAACATCGAACCCATACCGAACCTAAAAACCCCTTTAATAAGAAAATTCCAGGTGAAATTTGTGACTTATCTATAAGTTATAGAATTTTTTTACTATTTTTTCCATAATCTGCACACAAAATACTATTAAAATCACTAGTTAAATATCCTACAATTTTTTCACCGCAGACCTGTGTTATTTGGAAACACAAAAAATTAATATTTTGTATGCCACTGCCATTCATACGTGCATCTAGTTTACCATGGAAAAGGAAAACGAAGAAAAGCTTCCATTCTTGTTTGTAAGGAATATTACTGCAGTTCTATCCCAACACCAAATGGATGTTTTTCAACTCCTCGACACGTGTTTCAATCACCAAGTGATCATCATTCAGAGGAAAGTTATTGTCTGTAGTGTAGTATGTATGTATGTAGTGGTCAACAGAAAAACTGACAGAAATAGGTCACACAGTTTATCGCAAACCTACTCATACTAATCGATATCTCAACAAAAGCTCAAACCATGATTTGTGCCACCAGGATTTGTAAACCACATCATCTTGGAAAACTTCGTCATCTAGACCTAGCTTCACAAGCCAATGGTTTCACAGAGCACAGTTCACAAGAACTCGGCCTTTCGCAGATCACAACTTGGCGAATATTGCACCTGAACTGGGCCTGCACTCATACCAAATTCAATTGACCCAGGAACTGAAGGTACACGATCATATACAACGACATGTGATCTGGAGCAGTCACAATTTGGTGTGGATTTTGAGCTGGCGGCGTCATCTGTCCATATTTGTTTGAGAACTGGAATAATTTTTTCCCATTTTAAGAGGGTCGGGTGGTAAAGGATAAATTCACCAAATAGACCAATGGCCTCATCAAGACTGGTAGACATTTTCTCAAAACAAACATTGGGACCCCATCAAAGCCGGAAGGATATTTATTTTTCAATTTTTTTTGTAAAAGGCTATATAGTAATGGCGCGACATGCTTGCGTAATTCTTTCTCGCAATTCACCAAATGACGCAGGTTGAGTTTTATAAACAACTGACTTGAGGTGACCCCACAGAAAAAAGTCAGGCGGTGCCAAGTCTGGGGACTTCGGTAGCCACTCATTGGGACCTCTCCTTTCAATCCATTTGTTCGGATAATCAGTATCCAACCAGTGCCTAACTGGAGCTGCATAGTGAGGAGGTGCTCCATCTTGTTGGAAGTGCAGCAAATCTTCATCTACAGCTAGGTTGCCTTGGTCGTCCCTTTGGATCTCTAATTCATGCATAATTAAAGGTTCGATGGTGTTTTCCAGCATATCGGGATAAATGTCGCCACATAAATTGCCTGGTATGAACAAGGGACCATTTATAGCATCGCCTTATATTCCTGCCCAAACATTCAGTTTTTCAGGATATCGAGTGTGACCTTCTCTGAATCGATGAGGGTTCACTCCAGTACCGACAGTTTTATTCATTCAGCATAAAAGTACATTCATCACTGAAACAAATATTTTTTAACATTTTCAGTTCAACGCGAATTGTTTCAGTCAGGAGTTCACAAAACTCAATTCGTCGGTCTGGATCATCATCGCCTAGTTCTTGAAGAATTTGTGTTATGTACGGGTGAAACTCATGTAATTTCTACACCTTTCTAACCGATTCATGTGAAACTCCTGTCACTATAGATACTTGGCGTGTTGATGCAGAAGGATCCATTGCAAAAGTTTCAAGGACCTCAATTTGGGTTGCTTCATTCAGTAATCTTGGGACATTCGTTTTTTTATTTTGCACTGATTCCGTTTCTCTAAACTTTTCAACTAAATCGCAGACGTACACGTGGCTTACATTTTTGTCCGGATGCCTTTCATGAAATATTTGAGCTCTTTTTGAATAACAATGGTTCTGGGAGGCAAATATGAAAATTATCTCTACGCGCTCAGGTATACTGTAAACCATCGTGACACTGACAGAACCCAAAAAACAGATCTTTTCAACTTGTTTTGCAAAAACGGCATATTAAGTTTTTATTTAACAAAAAAGGTATTGACGGACACTTTTAAAATAATAGTCCGGGAGGATAAAAAAGTCATAGTGAGCCGGCTGATATTAAAGTTCGTGCAGACTTTGACAATAGGCTGTATTATTGTTTACAAAGCAACGGAACCCATTTCGAATATTTACTTAATTGACATTTTTAATAACTTTGTAGTTCAACAAGCCAATGTTTCACATTTAAGCCAATGTTTCACAATTATTGCTTCACCTTATACAATTATTATTTATACCGTTGGATAGCATTCTTTATAGACTTTTCAATGATGTATTATCACAAGTAGGGGTTTGCAATTTAAACTTTTTGTGTTTTGGTTTTGGTGGGTGGGTAGGGAGTTGGTGGGGGTGAGTTCTCTTCCATCTTTTATGTCACTTCAGTTCCCCCTTACTATCCTAGAAACGGTTTCAAGCGTTTTTCGATATCAGCCTTCGTTCGTGAGATATAGCCCATTGTAAGTTTTAAAATTGACACACTGTATAATAGTGTTATGTGACAAGTCCCGAGAATAAAGTTTTTCTGGACAAGTAGACAAAATTCTAGGACCAACCACTCCTGGAAGTTTCTCATTACACAAAAACAATGACAACAACCTAATCCGTTAAGTACGTACTTCCCAGACTAAGTCGGAAAATTGCTACTTTCTCAAAGAAAAATCGTCCGGGAAGTGGGTTCTTGCCAGACTGTTGCCAAAAAAATCTGTATCTGTATCTGATCTGTAATCTAACTCAGATGTTCTCTTTCACTGTGGCATGTGAGAAACTGACATTGAGGCTGAGGAAGAAGACATTCGAAGCCATGTTGAAACAAGAAATGGGGTGGTTCGATAGGAAAGAAAATGGCGTTGGAGCTTTGTGTGCCCAACTTTCTGGAGATGCTTCCAGCGTCCAAGGGGTAAGAGAAATCACTGTTCGTGAATTGTAAGTGGTTGACGTTAATGTTTTTCAGGTAGCCGGTGTACAGATTGGCACGTGCATGAACTTTTTATCAACATTGATTCTAACTGCAGCCTTCTCGTTTTATTATGAATGGAAACTGACCCTCGTGCTGTTGTCTTTTTGCCCATTCATATTCTTTTCCATATATTTCGAACAGAAATCTCTGCAGGCGAACGCTCTGAAAAATCAAAAAATGCTTGAAAAATCTTCGAAGGTAATAATTTCATAATTTTATATTGAAGTTCTGCATTATTTTCCAATAAACTTTGATTCAATTAGAATAAAATAATGACAACCCACATGAATACCTACATATAATAGTGAAAAGTAGTATATGTACGTGGCTTCTGTGTTATAACCAAAAAGAGAGAGAGAGAGACAACGCTTGTCTCTATCTCTTTTGGTGCCGATCCTCAACAAAACTTTTCTTGAATGAGTCAGATTTGCTTGAAAGAGTCATTACTGGTGACGAATCATGAGTTTATGATTATGACATCGCAATACGAAAAAAACGCCAAGCATTGTGAAAAAATCAATTCATGGATTTTGCATCATGATAATTCACCTTCTCACCCGTCATTGCTCGTTCGTGCCTTAGCCATCATATCAACCAGATTTGGCCCCCAACAACTTTTTTCTGTACCCAAGATTCGAGAGACCCATGAATGGAGGTAGAAACCGAATCGCTGAGAGAGGAAAAACCAAAAAGTGCATATCAGAACTGCTTAGAGGTTTGGAAAAACGCTGGTGCAAGTGTATTATATCAGAGGAGGACTGTTTCCAAGGAGACAAAATAGAAAATGATGAATATTTCTTGAGAAAATTTGAATATTCGTATATGTAAGAGTCTACGATGTTATTACGTACAAAGGCTCAGCAATTCTCACTATTTTTGACGTATTCAAAAGACACTCTACTGTGAAATTTTCACTAAACAGTTTTACACAGTAAAGACACGCCCGAAGAAACCATTGTATGAAGAAACACGTGTGGCGTTTTTGTAAAACTCTTAGGAGAAAATCTCACCATGAAGTGTTTTTTTAATTAGTAAATTATGGATTTTCATCAAGTACCGGCCAATCTCATATCTCAATATTTTTGGAACTCATATTGCTGATCAAACTGGATCAAAGGCTTCTTGTATGTGCCCCCCAAGCCACCTCCGGGGTTGAGTGCCCTGAGATAAAATCTTCTTCGCACGGTTACTGTGTGCAGAGGCTTGAATCTCGTCCATCCACCCCTTCTCATCCTTCAGTGGACCTCAACCTGCTGATGGGCACAGCACAGCAAGACTAACATCTGACATACTACGGTCGAAAGCCAGCCTTTGGGTGCTTCCACTTTCTAATCTATTATTTTATTGAATCGAGACTTTACTTGAATGTAATTATTGCATGGGGCCCCCAAAAACTAACCGGAGACGAGTGTCTTCAGATCGCGAACAAGTGTTTCTCAGTGTATCTGCAAAAGGAATGAGTTTGAAATCTGGTTAGAAAGTTTTTATACTCACCGGAGCTGCCTGGTAGCGACTCTCGGAGTTGGTATCTGATTCCTTGTATGTACAACAGGACCATGACTGTGTTATTTCCCTGGTGAGAGAGTTCATTTATTTTGAGGACCAGCCAAACGACCTAAGAGGTTCTGTTGCGATCTTTCCTGTAGTTGAAGTGTTTTTCGAAATGAGCTCTATCCTTTCATTCAGGCAGAGAAACCTTTAAATAAATCAAACGAAGAAATGGATCCGTAGTTTTCAGTAATATTCTTTGTTATGCATTTTTTGTGAACGTAAACTATCTCCCAATAACAATAGTAGTGTGAAACTTGCTTGAGGGTGTGAAACTCTGACTAGAATTCGGAAAAATATCTTGGTTTACTGTGACACCACTTCTTCTGAATGAAGACCCATTTTGTCTGTAACCCTCTTTTTTATTGTATATCAACGACTTATTGGAAAAAACGAAGAATTGGATATTATATTGCTTTGCTGACAGCACACTTGTTATTCCATTCGGAGTCTACTTGTGTTTTGTCCTTATATACTCATATTTTCTCAATTCTTCTCTTGATGTTTCTAAACTGTTAAATAGCGTCTTAGCCTATACCAACTGATATTTGGAATGTTTTACAGTTAGCCGTGGAAGCCATCGCCAATATAAGGACAGTTGTATCTTTGTGCTGTGAGTCTGTTTTTTTGGAACTGTACGTACAAGAGCTTCAGCCATATCAAAAAGTTGCAAAGAAGAAATGCCATTTCAGAGGTTTCGTAGTAGGCATTGCCAGAAGTCTTCTTATTTTTGCCTATTCAGTGGGTATAGTTTATGGTGCCAAACTAATAATCGATAGGGAGTTGGATTATGCTACTGTTTTCAAGTAAGTATTCAAATTTATATCCAATATTTCAATATACCAAATAGAGAATGGAAAAAAACTGTTTTATTGTACTTCAATATAATTTTTTATAATTACATTGACTGATTGGATAGGGTCATAGATATAACTTCGGCAAGCTATTGGCAGGGGTCCAAGAAAACGGCGAACCCCCCGGCTATCACAATCAGACAGAAAGATAGCTGGACTCGGTTCAGAGAATAGGCAAACCAAGAAAAAATCGGTTTCACCAAAGCCACCAACACGGTTGATGGTATCAGAGTACAGCCAACAGGAATCCCTGACTATAGGAAAATGATGGCTCTACTAGAGAAAATGAAAATCCCTCACCACACGTACTGTATGGCGGAGGACAAACCACTAAGAGTGATCTTCCGCGTTGTCCCAGAATTCTTGGACATCAAGGATATTAAAGCAGAGCTCTACGCGAGAGGTTTCGACATCTTGGCCATATCCAGGATGAAAAATGCGGACAGCAAAGAGCTACCGTTGGTCCTGGTTTTGGTTCCCAAAACACAAGGACATATATACAACGTAGGAGACATCCTCAACATAAGAGTCCGAGCAGAGACACAGCGACCAAGAACTACGGTAGGCCAGTGCTACCGTTGCCAGAGATTCGGTCACACACAGCGGAACTGCAAGGCAATTCCGATCTGTGTAAAATGCGCTGGACGTCATTTAACGAGTGCAAGCGAGACAAGCAGTTGCCCGCGAAATGCAACAACTGCAAAGGAGCTCACCCCGCCAGCTATCGAGGTTGTCCTGCATTCCCCAGAATACAGGACATGAGAAGACACTCAGAACCAACAGCCCCCCGGCGACAGGCAAATCCGTCATTCCACAATTCCTGAGCGATGCTCATGCGACGGTTTTTATGGGCCAAATTCAGCAATTCTGGAAAGAATGTCGCTGCTACACGCTTCATACCTGAAATTTCTGAAAAAACTGTATAACATGAGCCAACCGATATGTTGACAACCTCAGCAACTTCTCTAATAGCGATTCAACGATTCCTCACTTTCTCAGGATTTTCACCGGTTGTTGATGTGCTGGGGCGTCCAGAACGAGCGTCGTCATTCAAATCTTCTGGATCTTCTGTGAAAAGTTTGTTCCACTAGTAAACCTTTTTCTGACTCAGAGTACAATCATCGTATGCCACTGTCAACGTTCCAAGTACTGCTGAAACTGTGAATATACATTCCAGGCGAGTGTACCAACATAGAAAATTTAAACATTGCTGAGCCCGCGAAATTTGAACATTCACCATATTTTCTGAACAGACCTGGTATGCTGATCAAAATCGACACAATATCAACACACCGTGATAGTTAAGGCGATGACATTACTCTTTACGAAGACGCCATGTACGGGATCGATAGCAGACTCAATTCTTGAATATCGAAAATAAATGGGGATCCCGAAGGCGGTTGGTTGCAAAGACATGCTTTGTCTCTGACTTCTAGTTTCATTCAACACACTGTGACGTGAAAATGAGTCGAGGACTCAAATCTATTCCTGAAAATTCAACGCAGTTAGATTTTCCAGTTTCATCATCGTTATCCCTGATCTCTTAGTCAGATGTTGGATTATGTTCAATTCGTATAGACATGTATTGGATTTTACTTGCATTGAGGAGTGATGAATGGTTGAATAGCCAGCCAGAGAAAATTCAAAATAGAGTTGACTGTGTTTTTAAGAATATGTTCATCCTCTTTTGTGAAAAAAATAGAGTCATCTGATTCCAAAGTCATAAATTTCTGAACTTTATAATGTCATTGAATCATCTGGAATCTCCACCTGAATCCAAATCTACTGAAGAAAGTGTGGCCGAAGGCTTTACAGAAAATGGCCCAGCAAAGCTCTCTTGCATACAGAGACAGGCGGGTCTGGCTATCAGTGGTGCCATCAGTACCACACCGTCAGCAGCCATGGAGATCCTTCTAGATCTACCTCCTTCCAAGATTTTTCTGGAGAGAGAGAGAGGCTAGATGGACTGCATACAGACTTGTGCACATTGCCAATTGCACAAATCAATTTAATGCAGAGACCTCTGGAAATGACCTCTGACTTCATGCCTCCAACTGTCAACTGCCTTATAAACTGCCTTATAAAGTACTATTCCCGAGTAGAGAGGACTGGATCCTCCGGGAGGATGAAATATTAAGAGCAGATAGTTGTTGGTTCAGAGGTGATTCAAAAACACTTTCCGGTTCTGGTGCAGGTGTTTCTAGTCGCAGACCCAGGACAGAGTTACGTACCTGCCTAGGAACTTATGCGCCTATATTTCAAGCGGAAATTTACGGTATTGAATTGTGTGCGGAGAGATTGGTAGAATCCAACCTCATACACAAGTCAATAAAAATGTTCTCAGGCAGTCAAACGGCGTTGGAAGCTCTTCGCTCCTACTGAGCAATGTCTAAATTGGTAGCAAATTGCCAAAAACGTCTGTCGTCGATGAGAATACTTAACAGATTGTCTCTGGTCTGGATTCCTGGCCATACTGGCCTGGAAGGCAATGAAGCTGCTGACTCCCTTGGAAAGAAAGGTGCTACAAGCAGCTTCATTTGACCAGAACCTGTCATTGGCATTGGTTTAGGCATTTGCCAAAAAAACATTGAACACCTGGATGGCAAGAAGATTTATGGACTCCTGGTAGAATCTTCCAGGATTGGCCCACTTCAAGGCGGTTATTCACCCTTCGAAGCCTGATACCAAACTGTTGTTGGACTACAGTAGGGATGAACTACGATGTCTAACAGGCCTTCTTACAGATCTCTGTCATTTGAATCATCATATGCAGATACTTGGACTGTCGGAAGACAGTGTGTGTCGCCCATATGTGGAAAATGATGGAACACCAGAGCCCTGCCCCGCTGGGGACTGAATCATGTTTTTAGAGTTCGGCAGAGCCGTACTCTTACCATTTGACCTGAAAGACCACTCACCATACAAACTAATCAGCTTCGTTAGGAAGCTGGGTTTATTTGGTCGAGTGTGAATAGGTGTGAGCCACAATAAACCCTTGCGGGTTGCGGTGAAGGGTCGAATATACCTACTCACTTCAAACCCAACCTAACTGACTGAAGAAACTGATTGATGTTATATGGGGTTCCCAATGAGGTGAAAGTTTTCACAAAACGCTAGTTTTCATTAGTTTCTTTCAATATTTTTTTCGTGATAATTTCAGAGTCTGCGAAGTCATGATTTTTGGATCTTGGTCTATTGGAAACGCTATGTCAATAACTCCAAATTTCCAGAAGGGTCTTGTTGCGGCTTCTAGGATAATTGCATTATTGGAAAGAGTTCCTCTCATTCGGAACATCATCAATCCAGTGAATTGTGCGTGGGTAAGTTCCAAATTAATTTTTCATCAGTTTCTATATTTGAACATCTTCATTGAAGAAAACAAAATCCGAACTGGAGGGCCAACGTCGAATGAGTACTGAATATTCCGGCTGCTTTTGCGTCAGTGGTCAGCATCGACTGACTGGCGAGCTACTTGCTCACTCTTCTTTATAATTTCACAGTTTTGGTGTAGTTCATTCCAAACTTACAGGTGAAGACCTAGTGGCTACTATTGAATCATCCATTGGGGTATTGCCACAAGAAGAAGCTAAGGAGATGAGAAGAGAATCTGCTTGTATCTTCCAGTACGCCAAGCCACCAACATTGAACATCAGCACCAAAAAATTCTCTGCAGATTAAGTCATTGCCACAGCAGTTCTGAACACATGACTGCCAATAGAAAATACTCGATTTTCTTGAGCCACCAACTTTCAAAATGCTCAAGTACAACCCTTCATCCAAGATACTGAAGGAAACCAATCAACACACCAAACATTTTTCAGTTCTAACTGAAGAGAAGTGCCAACTGCGGGATTTTAGAGTCTTACTGCTTAGTCTCTACGACGTTCCTAAGATTCACAAGCAAAATATTTCCCTTCGTCCAATTTTTAACGCCATTAGTTCATCTACTCATCCTACTGCGATTCACCTTTCGAATCTACTGCAATAATATGTAGGAAAACGATAATCTCACATCAAGGACTTTAAGGAGAAAATCAATAATTTGGTCCTGGTAGATGTAGATGCAGTTTGTCTCTTCACCATGGTCCCAGTCGAAGAGACGTTTAGCAAATTAAACAAATTTTTTCGGTGGGCAATGCAGTTCTTTTCGACCATGTTGTAACAGCAAATCATTGAGGATTCATTAATACGCTGTAAATTAATTTGCGAACGGCAGCTTTTGGCCGGAAAGCAATATAGGTTCGTTGAAAGATTATTTTCGTCAAATTCAAGTTAACATTGGAGTGGGCGCCACCAAAATTTGTTGAATTACACGTAGCAACCATTTATAAAGCTGAGAAATTAAGTGGGAATAATTGATGGGAACGTATTTTTGTGAAGTTTGGATGTGAAGTAATAGCATAAATAGTAAACAACTGAAATAATGAATGAAATGTGTGATATAGAAATCGAAGACATTTTTGGTGAAGACTGAGAACTCAATTTTGCAAGATGATATCACATCATAATCGAAACATGCTCACCCATAGTACTATGCATCAGCTCACAACATTATAACATCATAATCACGGTTTTATAGAGATTTATATGTAACACGTCAACTATAGGTTTTTTTTATAAAAAATTGAAATGGGTTCAGAATAACATTATGAGTTGAAATAAATTATAAGTTCTGGCCTTATTTTGGTCCTCTTCACATAACAGTAAAATGGATGTAGTACACTGTCTAGCTGGACACCACCAAGAACGTTTCCCCCACCATTTTAGAAAAGGAAAAGATCAGAAAGATATGTTCTTCTAGCCTCTAGCCGAGTTGGACGTAATAGCATATGCAACAGCAAAATGATTAGATTCACTATTTTCAACATAAATTACTTATTCGCCTGATGTCGTCCTACAACCCTAAAATCAAATTTTAGATAAAGAAAACCTACCTTTTGTGTTAGGTTTCTAACAGAATATTATCCAATTTATTAGGCTTCTCAAATGCTTACCTCTAAAGAGGATAGGCAACGGTTTATCTATCAAAAACCGGGAGCCTTGTGGTTTGATTGAGCAAAAAACTGGAATTTCCAGGGCTAGTTTACAAAATAGCCAGAATATTATTCTACTCAATTCAGAAAGGACAATTATCAACTTCAACAGGAAGAAGAATTCAAATCCAAAAACTGTGTTCCTTGGCACATCTGCCTTCGCAGGAAAAAATATCGAACTGAAGCCTCATCCTTGAAAAGAATCGTGCTTGGTTTGACGAATCGAATACCATCGGTCTTCGGACAAATGGAAGGTGAGATATTTGAAAATCCGCAATAATTGGGAGCTGGCAAATAACCATACACAAAAGTGTTTGAATGATGTCCTGTATGAGCTGACGTCTCTTTTGGATTTATTTCAATAATCATAGAAAATAAAAGTAAGACAAACTAAACGCTACAATATTCTCAGAAATTTTCAANTTTTTGATGAATCGATGAAAAGTCTCCATTTCTCTGGTTCATACGTTATGTTGAACATTTACATGACGCCGGGTACATTGTTGCAGAAAACTATGTCACCCTCTTGTGTAAGAAAGGGACAAATTCCCATTCTCTAAATCGGTACTTTAAGTCTAGACTCTAAAACTTCTGCAGAGTCCTTTGGGTGGCCCAGATTTCGTACTAAATCGTTCGAGTCTGATTGAGAGAAAAATTCAGATTCAATTTACCGCTTATATATGCTATACAGGGTGTAACTAAATAAGTGTAAAACATTTGAGGAGGTGATTCCTCATCGAAAAAAAGATAGGATCTTTCATATAGAGAAATTTCGTTGGAGCATCCCTTGTTCAGATACAGCCCCTTAAAGGGGGTACATAAAATTTGTATAACAATTTTTTTCACAAGCAGTAAAAAAGTTACAATATTGAAATTAACCTGACGTTTTGTACTACCAAAAAGACACTTAGCCAGAAATTTATTTGGTTTACCCCATGGTTGTAAGGGGTGGAAAACGCAACCCCTA